TGGTCTATTATTAAACTGTGTAACTTTTTAGGACTAGTAATATATATATCATTTTCTTCTACGTTTTTAACTTTTTAGGAGGAGTTATGATTCATGAAGCATATACTGTGTATGATTTGGGATTTCCAATGAAAGAAGATAGCTTCACAACTAAGTATCTTGTAAAGTGTAAAGTCACAACTCCCTTCATTTTATATGTTGGATCATACACAGACTCTGCATAATGCCCTAACTGAGAAGAAAGGATACCACAATAAGCTGTGTGAACCTTGGATTTTCTTTTTAGATTCAAATTTACTTGTCTTTGTATCCTAAATGCTTGTTTATCTTGTCTGCACCAAGTATAATATTTTCCTGGATCAGTCCAAGTAATGTATAGTTGAACATATTTAAGATTAACGATCACCTTCGAATTATGTTCCAAGTTCGCTCTAGACACAAGTACACAACCTTTTCTATGAAAAATTAAAAAGATTTCATACCTTACAACCAATTTTAAGATTATTCATCAATTTTAATTCATCAAGTATTGTATAGTTGAACATATTTAAGATTATTCATCAATTTTAATTGCTTTCAATTTTTTTTTTCTTGGTTATTAATATATCATTTTGCATTTTACAATTTTAGATGGAGAGACAATGAAATGAGATACGAAAATTACATTTAATGTGGGAACAAAGACGACGTCAAATTGCAATTCTAGTCACTACCATTGCCGTGTATTGGTTTATGCGTCGAAAACATAGAAACTATATAAATAAACCTATTACACAACCAGAAATTGAAAGGCAAATAACACGGGATAAAATAATGAATGAGCTAAGGGTAAGTGTGAAATGTCGTAACATTACTCATATGGGACCAGAAGCTTTTCAAAAATTTTGTGAGCTGTTTATGAGAGATAGTGGTCTTCGACCCACAAGACATACAAGTGTTGAAGAGCAAGTTGCCAGGTTTCTTCACATTATATCACACAATGTGAGGAATCGGACAATGTCATTTTTCTTTTGTCGCTTTGGTGAAACTATAAGCCGTCATTTTCATAGTGTGTTAAAAGCAATAATATCCTTGGAAGGACAGTTCCTCAAGCAACCTAATGGATCGGACGTCCCTCCATAAATACTCAATAACGATAGGTTTCATCCATATTTTAAGGTAAACGTGATTATTACTTGTACCCCTCAATACTTCAATTTTTCTTTTCTCACCAGCTATTACATGTAAATTTTTATATAATAATTTATCTTAGAATTGTAGTGGGGCAATTGATGGAACACACGTTCATGTGAGAGTATCTAACGAAGATGCACCAAGATATCGTGGCAGGAAGAATTATCCAACAATAAATGTGTTAGCTGCTTGTTCATTTGACATGAAGTTTACCTATGTCTTACCTAGATGGGAGGGTACCGCTTCAGACTCAAGAGTTATGGCTAGTGCACTAGAAAGAAATAGAGATAAACTAAAACTTCCTGAAGGTAAATTTTGTTAACATTAACTAAAAAATTATTAATATGAAGCCAATATTAATTATTATTGTGCTTAATAGGGAAATATTATCTTGTTGATGCAGGATACCCATTGAGGGCTGGACTTATCATGCCTTATAGAGGTGTGCGCTACCATTTAAAAGAATGGTCTTCACGTCGACCGGAGAATCCTCGAGAGTTATTCAACCTTCGACATGCATCACTACGCAATGTTATTGAGAGAATTTTTGATGTGTTGAAGAAACGATTTCCTATCATAGGAAACAGTACTGAACCAACGTATGATGTTAATACTCAAGTTGATATTATTTTAGCATGTTGCATCATACACAACTATTTAATGGGCATGGATCCTGATGAAAGCCTTATTAATGAAGTAGACCGGGAGCTGTTGAATGAAACTCGAAACGAAAAGGCTGGTCCAGTTAAGAGAAGTGAAGATCATAGTTTGGGGGAATACTTGAGAGATTCAATAACTTCCCCTATGTGGCATAACTATGTAGTTAATCAAATGTGATATTTCAAATGTTTATTTGCTTGAAAAAACTTAACGTCTTTTTATGATAGAGTGCTTGTTTTGATTTGAAGATGTAGAATGCTAATAATTTGTTATAAACTCCTACTTTGCATGCATTTATTTATATGTCTTTAATTTTCATTTTATTTTTTTGTCTCTTTCTTTGTGTTATACTTGTTATTATGTAGACATAAGAATAAGTAAAGAATCAAACATAAGTGGTGTGTCGAAGAGGGACAGATTGGATTGGAATGCACAAATGGATGATATATTTGTGGATGCATTACATAATCAATATCTCAAGGGAAATATGCATGATGAGACATTCACAACAAGAGCTTATCATGAAATTGTTGAGGAATTGAAACAAAAACTCGAAATTGATATCAACAAAGCTAAAGTGAAGAATCGATTGAAAACAACCAAGACTCGTTTTAACGAGTGTTTTGACTTGTTCAAAAATGGTTTGAGTGGGTTTGCTTGGAGTCAAGAAACAAAAATGTGGAGCGTTGAACCTGAAGTTTAGGCTGATTTGATTGCGGTTGATTCTCTAATTGTGATTATTATTATTATTATTTTACTATTAAGAGATACATAATTTATTTATTTATTTATTTTTTCATTTTGAAATAATGATAATATATATATTTTTTCTCTTTTATGTTTTGCCAACAGGCAAAACCAGCTGCTGAGAAATGGAAGACTGCTACGATTTTTAATTATTATAAGTTGCTGGATTTATTTGGCAAGGATATGGCAAGGGGGTTTAATGCCCTAACTACTAAAGAGAGGATGGCTAAATGGGCAGCAAATGATAGGGAGAAGAATAATGAATTAACAGCAACTGCTAGTGAGAGGAGTAATGAATGGGTGCCAACTCATAATGATTATCCTATGGATAGCATTTATGGTATTGATCACTTGGTGTCACGGAATGAAGCAAGTTTGGATAATACGGGTTTTTTGGATACTGAGTTTGAATATATGAATATGATGTCTCCTGAAACACCTTCAAGTGTACCTTCCCATTCCACTTCTTCTTCAAAAGGAAAAAGAAAAAGGAAATCCACGACTGCTAATCAAGACAACCTAATGATTGGAGCAGAAAGCGGTGTTGCTGAATCTCTTAAAGAGGGAAATGAACTTCTTAAAGAGGGAAATGAACTTCAGAAAGCATTCAACAATCTTTATGGGAAGTGCAACCAAAAGGGAAAATATGAAGAGGATATCTTTAAGGAGTTGGCAGCAATTGGAATAGAGGAGCATGCAATTGTTGACGCTTTCATTTTTTTGACTACGCATGACCATCCTGATAGAGTGACACAACTTCTTGGTTGTCCATTTAATCATCGCAAGCAACTCTTGGAGAAATTGATGTCACGTGCTTCTAGACATTGACTATGGTTTTAGTTATATTGTCTTTTGGGGATGTCTTTTGGTGGAACTTTCTACTATTTCTACGTTTAGTTATTTTATGTTTAGTTATCGCTATGAAGCTTTTGGGATATTAACTTTGAAACCGTATGTTTGTTTTACTTTTATGAGACATTATGACGCGTTATCTATTTTGGAATGCTTGATATAGGTAATTTTATTTTTTTTGTGTGCTTGTTATCTATTATGGAATGCTTGATATGGGTTACTTTATTTTTTTTTCACTACTGATGTTTCTGTTATGTGGTGGAAGCATTTTGTGAGATCCATTCTGGTGGCTATGTGGCTATGTTCCTTCTACTGCTGTGTTGTTTGATGGGAAAAATGATGCTTGATATGGGTTACTTTATTTGTTTGATGGATAGTATCTAGGAGCAGGAGACTTTGTCTTCCATCCTATGCTAAGGGGATGTTTTAGTTGTTATTATCATTTATCTGAGAAATTTCATGCTTTGAATTTAGCAGGGTCAAAACTATTTTGTATACATTAGTGACAGATTGCTTTTAAAGTATATGGGACATACAAGAAAGACAAACCATGCATTAGTGCACACATGATCTCAGGACCTCTATGTTGGTTGATACCGACTGAGACATTCCCAGTGGAGACGAGAACAGCAAGGTTTGCAATAAACATTGGTGGTGTAAGTGCACAAAATAGTCAGAGCAATAAACATTGGTGGTCTAAGTGCACCTAGTAGCAGGCTGAGTGAAAAAAGGGTGCTATTAAAAAATATTATATTTTAGTTGAGCATCAAGCTAGTTATGGCTGTGCTTCAGTTTGAACAGACTTTGGCATCCAAATGTATCTATGTGGTTTCACTATAAGGATGACCCGGAACCAAAATCTCAGCATCTAGCCTACATTTACCCTCAGGAAACTGAGAAAGTATATACCATGATGACCATAAATGTAGTAATTCCCAGAACTTTTTTGTTCAACTTAGTTAATTAATCTTGGCTTGGTCTGAATTTGGACCAAGCAGAGCTGCTTTATATGGTTTACCTAAATATACTTTAACAAGATTACAGTAACATGCATGATATCCAACATGATTACATGTAATCAGGTATATTATGGCTCTGTCAACTGCATAAAAACAGTGGGTAAAACACAGAAAACATAAAACATAAAACAAAAATAAAGTAATTCAAACAAACCTCTTTCAGTAATACATACTATTAATTGGTAACGAAAAAAATAAATAAATCAATCAATAATAACAAAAAAAGAATGAAAAAAATAATATTATTATTATGGAGAGTATGAATTGAATTAGATTGATTTGAGGTTGAATTGAAGCTTGAGATGGGTTTGGATTTATTTATTTGAATATAATCCATCAAAAAAACACATTTAATTACATAATATGTAGCATTTAATTTTAATGACATGTAAAGGTAGGATAGTAATTTAGTCAATATCCTTTCTTTTCTTTTCTTTCCTTTATTTTATCCAAACAAGAATAACTATTATTTCTTTTCTTTTCTCTTCTATATATCCAAACACAAATTATTAGTATCCTTTCTTTTGTTTTCTTTATTTTCCCCCTGTTTATCCAACACAGCCAGAGTGTTCGCTTTTCCTCTAAAACGTTTCCACTCACAATCGCCCTCTATTCCAACTCACAATCGCCCTTTATTCCAACTTTCAAGTTTGAAACCGACTGAAAACCCTTGAGAGAGAAAGGGGAAGAGAGAGAGACGCACACACACAATATTTTTCATTCACGGTTCACATCAATGGCCTCCAGATTTCTCACCGTCGCAAAGCTTTTCCGATCTAATCGGTCGTTCACGGTGGCCGCCTCTCCTTTCGCCGGCCACCATCACTCTTTCAGCTCCTCCGGCGATTCAGACTACCACACTCGCTCTCAGCCCTCCCGAGGAAGTGGTAATCACTCGTACTCAATCTCTCTCTCTCTGAATCTGTTTCTATTTTGATTTTCTTAAATGTGTTTTGATTTTATCTTTTTGTGAATCTGATACAGCTACATAGTGATTCTGTTTACTGATTTTTGGTTCATTTCTATATGTTTGTATATATATGTATAGCTCTTAAGATGACAATGATAGCTCGGATGAAACATCCCTTTCTGAATAAAGGTATGGATTCGATGTGCCAAGCTACAGAATACGAGCGAGAGTCAATTGTTAAGATTGACATGCCCGGAATCGCGAAAGAAGGTCTCGACATTAAGGTCAAAAAACTTGCAATCCACATCGAAGGGAAAACACAGAAAGAAGATGAAGATGAAGATGATGACGAAATGGGAGTGAGGGGATACTCTGGTGTCATTGATCTTCCTCGGGGTATTTACAACACCGATGAAATCAAGGCCACCATTAAGTTGGGTATTCTCAAAATGGTGATCCCCAAGATGGATGACGTCTCAACTCTCTCTGCACCGTCGATCTCGTTTCGTGGCGCGCCGGCCACCTACTCAACCACCACAGATGAGAGACGTGTGAAGGATGTATTCAATATTTAAGGTAGATCTTAATTTACTTGATCAATTTACACTTTAGCTAGCTGGTACTGTTAAAAATTTCAGGAGTATGATGTTACTTGATGTGTGTTTTCTTTGCTGCCAATGCTTATATGAGAACAAACAGTTAGAAATTTTTGTGTTTGCAGCTAATGACATGATTTAAGTGGTGTAGTTGGTGCAATTGTGGTTTAGAATTAAATATACACAAACTTTTAGTAGTTGTTGTGGTTTAAAAGTTTCAATACTGTTAGCTAGTGTTGTTTTGGGTGAGCTCAATTGAAGCTGTCTTATTTGAAATATCAAATGCTTTAAATGTGGATGTTTATTCAAGGAGAAAAGAGTATGGTTTTGCATTATATGTTTGATGGATTTCTACTATATATATATGTGTGTGTGTGTGTGTGTCAATTAGTTTGGCATGAAATGGGGCCTTTGGCTGTGCTGTTAACCTGTGTTCATTTGTTTAATGGTGGCAATTAGTTTGGAATTTATTTTCTTTAATTGTATATGTTTTGTCAAGTAGCTACAGTAGAGTAATGGGTGATTTGTCTTGGCGCTTGCTTCAAATTTTGCAGTAGCTTTGAATTAGTCAAAGGTGTTTATTAAATAGGATTCAGACTCTTTGATTATTGGAAGTGCCAATTTGAATGAAGGAGAGTCATATTTTCTTACATATGCAAAAGCAGCTCCATATATGATAAATGGATTATATATGTATAGGAACACATTTATAATCAAGAAAATAGTTCTTAATTTGCTATGTAAGAGTATGTATTAAGGTTTGTAATGACGTCTAAGTAAATTAAATTTTTGTGTATATTGGACTTCTTGTGGCTCTTTCTTATGTTGCATGTTTGTTAAATATTAGTGTAGTTTGGTTTAGAATTAAATATACACAAACTGTTAGTAGTTGTTGTGGTTTTAAAATTACAGTACTGTTACCTAGTGTTGTGTTGGGTGAGTTCAATTGAAGCTGCCATATTAGAAATATCAATTGCTTTAAATGTAGATGTTTTATCATGGAGAAAAGAGTATCCTTTTGCATTATATGCTTGATGGATTTTAATATATATTGTGGCAATTAGTTTGGGATGAAATAGGGCCTTTGGCTGTGATGTTGCCCTTTGTTCATTTGTCTAATGTTGGCAGTTAGTTTGAAATGTATTTGCTTTAAAATGTAGATGTCTTTTCAAGTAGCTACAGTAGAGTAATGGGTGATTTGATTTGGCGCTGGCATCAAATTTTGTAGTTTGGTACCTTTGAATTTAATCCATGGTGTTTATTAAATAAGATTCAGACTCTTTGATTATTGGATGTGCCAATTTGAATGAAGGAGAGTCTTATTTTCTTACATGTGTGAGAAATGGATTATATATAGGAACACATTCATAATCAAGAAAATAGTTCTTAATTTCCTATATAAGAGTATGTATTAAGGTTTGTAATGACATCTAAGTAAATTAAAGTTATGTATATATTTGACTTCTTGTGGCTATTTTTTTGTGTCCATATATATGCAAGTTAATTTTCCTTTAATCTGTAAATCTAAGTGTCGAGTTTTACGACCATAATTACACAAGCCGATCACTAGTATATATAGTTTCAATGAACTTCATTTGTTGATGCAACGCTACTAGTTCTGCCTGTCAAATACTAAAAAATGGAAAAGTTATTTCTTGTTGGAGCTCATATAGACACACAGAAGTATGATAATTTACAATGTATTTTATCCTATATGGTATAAAATGAATTTATTTGCTTATTTAATTTGATATTTTCTTTTCTAATTTTGCTGATAATGGTTTCCCAACTCTATAAACGGTTGCAAGTCCCAGTATTCATAATAGCTGTTGAATTCTCTGAATGTTGATTGTAATGTACTAATGCTGATCAATACAGTTATTGCCTATATTCAATAACACTTTTGCCTATATTCAAACTGACAATTGTACCAAATGAGCAATAGCCGAGTTGGTACAAGTATGTGTGATTGCTTAACCTTCCAAAAAAAAAAAAAACTAACAATTGTAAAATTTGTAATTTCTTTCCTTTCCATGTTTTTTTTGCATAACAGTATTCCATCAGTATTTTCTCCTATGGTTTGTGTTATTGGAAGAGCATCCTTGGGATGGCATTTGGATCCTACAACTTATATACACATACTCGTGTCTGATTTACAGTACTAGTGTTTTTTTCAGGTAGCTACGGTAGAGTAATGGGTGATTTGTCTTGGACTCTTGGTGCTTGCTTCAAAATTTGTAGTAGCTTTGAATCTGTCAATGGTGTTTATTAAATAAGATTCCGACTCTTTGATTATTGGATGTGCCAATTTGAATGAAGGAGAGTCATATTTTCTTACATATATATATATGTATGCAAGTTAATTTTCCTTTCATCTGTGAATCTAAGGGTCAAGTATTTAAGACCAGAAGTACACAAGATGAAGTCGTTCACTACAGTAGTATATATAGTTTTAATGAACTTCATTTGTTGATACAAAGCAACTAGGCAAATGATTCTGCTCATCGAAAACTAAAAAATAGAAAAGATATTTCTTGTTGGAGATCGTATAGACATGCAGAAGTATGGTAATTTACAATGGATCTTATCCTTGATGGTGTAAAATGAATTTATTTTCCTATTTTGATATTTTCTTTTCGACTTTTGCTGATAATTTTGGTTCAATTGTGTAATTGAATGGTTTGTACCTCTTTAAAAAAGCAAGTCTCACTCAGCATTCATAATGGTTGCTGGATTCCCTGAATGTTGATTGTAATGCTTCTTAATCATACAGTTCTTCCCTCATTGAAAAAAATAAAATAAAATACACTTTTGCCCATATTCAAACCAACAATTGTAAAATCCGTAATTTCTCTACTTTCCATATTTTTTGTTGCATAAAAGTATTCAATCATTATTTTCTCCTATGGTTTATATTATTAGAAGAGTAACGCAAATGTATCCTACAACTTATATTTACAGTACTAGTGTTTGAATTATTCTACTTTTCAGGATTTGTATGTGCATTGGCCATCCAATTGTGTGATTTAAGTTCCGAAAAGCATAGAGAACTATTGTTTCTTTTGTGGTGGCACAACATTTATAGGTATTGGATTTCAGTTAATCAGCTATTGTTGTGGTTATAATAGTTCCCTTGGCCAATGAACTCTAAATTGACAACTTTCATTTAGGGAGGTGATGGTGTAGTAATACCTTGAAAGTTTTTTCTATGACATGGAAGTATTTGATATATGGGAATATGTATAAGAGATAAATGCTATGAACAGTCGCAATGAGATTGCTGTGATCCAACGGCTGAGCAGCGACCGTTGTGATGATCTTTTAGTATTTGTACATAATAATAGATACTTTTTGGAGTTGTGGAATCCATGAGCTGTAGGCTTGTTTTCTTTTGAATTTTGTGTTCTGTAATCCCTATTGCTTTGACCATATTAGGTTTTTTTTTTTTTTTTTTTTGTGGGTTGAGAAGATAGAGATGCACAAAATAAATAAGTGGACATGGTTCTGAGAATATATTGGAGTATAAATTTGATTATCTTTTTTGCAGAGATCGGTCATCCTTGTTCAAGATTTAATTTTCCCTTTCACTGTGAATTGTGTTGTACATTTATCTCTCTTTTTTACCCTTTTTACTTCTAATTGCACCCTCGTCATAATAATAAAGGCTCTTGTATTAGCTCTCTGTTTCTTTTATTTGAAAAATCATTTTAACAGTAAATAATGGTCACATAAAGTGTTTTTTTTTTTTTTTAGTTTTGGTCTGTCACATTAATTTGTTGTCTTTTTCATTCTTAGAAAGGAATTTTTTTTTTTTTTTTTAGTTCATTTTCTTTTTTCTGAACAGCAAATTTACTTTTTCTTACAAGACTAGTGCAAAAAGAACTTTGCAGTTTTGAATTATGATATTTCAGTTTGAGCTTTGAAAAATAATTGTTTTGTGATATTGTTTTATGAGACATGGTTTCATGACATGCCTCTATTTGGCCAAGAAAACTATATTGGTATTAAAGATCAAATTATATCAGAACAGAGTAGTTTACAGAAGTGTTTGGAGGTGTCTGAATTATAGCGGAGAAAAATCATCTGTCTAGAGCTAGACTTGTATTCCAACAATTGGATAATCTGGCGGAAAAGTATAAGCTAATTAGTTTGTCCTATTTGATATATATAACATTAGTTTAGTGGCAACTCTTTTAATATCTACCTGATGGACTTTAAGCCTATATGATAAAAACTAATTTAATATTTAAACATTCAGTAGACTTGTGCACGTGCTAATATATATATATATATATATATATATATATATATGTTTTCGTTAAATAAATAAAAGGGTTCAATTTGTAGACAGTTTTTGAAGTATTTTTTTCTTTTTCTTTTTTCTTTTTTATTTGCCTTTGTGTTTATGGTATGAGTTGTGCGTTTGGACTTTTACTTTTGCAGTCACTAGTTTTATTCCTCTTTTGTTACTAGAAAATTATGAATATTAATCAAAATTATGGAATATTTGTATTTATTTTTTATTTTTTATGTACTCAATAATTTATTTTGAGTGTATAATGTCAACCCTATCTGACATTATGTTATTGTTTATTCTCGCGCCTAGCTATTTATCTCTATGGAGTGGTGGCCGTGCCTTTGAGTTCAAGTTGAACATACCTTAGTTTGTTTTTAAGTATTATCATGGTATGGTATATGCTCTAGAAAGCAACTCTTTTATATTTTTTTACTCAAGATTTCTAGTGTACAGTACTCGTAATACTCTTCATGGATCATAATGCAACCAGCTAAGGGTTTTATTTTATAATTTTGCCTAATAAAAATAAACAATATCAATAATAATAATAATAATAATAATGAAAAATTTGTTGTGACTTAAATTTATTTAAAGATTATATAATCAGGTCAATTTGGACAATAAAGAGAAAATTCACGGGACAGTTTGGTTTTGTTTGTTAACAGTTTGGTTCGGTTACGATTTTAAATTTGTGAAATCATATATATATATATATATATATATATATATATACACGTTAATTTATATAGTATATTTAATATAATATAATCCTATAATTCAAATCACTTGGAAGTTTATAGCAACTATCAATCCTATGGTCCAATCTTAATTCCTTAATTTGGTTAGTGTCAACTAGCTAGAAAGGAAAAGAAACGAATTTTTTTAAAATTATTTGGTAGTTTGGTTAGCGTGAAAATTTTCAGGAAAGTAATATTTCCGCAATTGATTGATTTTCCTTAAAATTTGATTGATTTTCCTTAAAATGTTTCATTTATAAAACACGCGAAAATTTCACTATAATCATGTGTTCGTTTCCAATTATACCCTCAGTGGTTATTTGGCTTCCTTCTTTTTAGACTCACAAAAGGAGTGATTTCTTTTTGATAAATTAGGACTTCTACTAATATTACAACTTTCTAACTCTTTAAATTAGGACCTCTAATAAAGTTACAATTTTTTGACTTTTTAAATTTATATATATATATATATATATATATGCACGCACATATTTTTATTCATAAAATAATTATTTATATTTTTTATTATCATTGTTGTATGATGTATTTTACTTAATATTGAATTCATGAAGGCAATTTTGATATATAAATCATTTTATTTTCACTTTCTTGCTAACTAAACTAATGAAACAACATTTTCCCACAAATCTTTTTACAAAAAAATCATGCTAACCAAATGCATGATAGAAATGTAATTTTCTGTTCTTTTACTTCACTTTCTTTTCCTTTCACTTTTCAATCATTAATTTCCGGCTAACCAAACAAATCTTGATGATATTTTTTAGTGGCTGAATTTTGAACTGTAGTTGATTGTTTCTTGTTAAATTAGTAATTCTAAGTATATTAAATTATTAATAATTTTAAATTTATTTACTTCAGTTTCATAGGGGATAATAAATTAAAAGTTTTAAATATATTAATAGTATATATTAATAGGAAGATGCAAACACGTTGCTCGCTCGACTGGACATGCCCTGCATTTCCGGGAAGGTCTGAAGCTGTGGTACGAGAATGAATCTCCGTACATCACCGGAAAGGAAGGAGAGGAGGACGAAAAATTCTTGCCGGAAATCCGAACGTGTGAGTTCATACAGAATGAGGTCCAGAGGTGGACGATGTCGACCAGCCTGGCCGTCTCGCCGCGAAGGTTCAAAACCGATGAGATCAAGGCTACTCTGAAAAATGGTGTTCTCAGGGTTGTGATCCCAAAGCACAAACACAAGCCAATGGAGGGCAACAACCACGCCGTTCATATCGAGATTGGAGTGAGATTGTCACAACACGGAAAAAGATCCATTTTGGGTCTTTTGGTGGTGTGGTTAACTTCTGTGGTGTCGAATACTTACAAGATTAGGGTTTGTTCATGTTTGTAGTTTATTTTAGTAAAAACTAAAAATTTTGTATTTGAAATGTTGGTTCTGTAATTTTAATTTTCATATAACAAGAAAAGAAAAAGATCATTAATATATAGAATATGATAATGCATTTTGAGTGTTTTTTTTTTTTTGTTTTTTAAATGAAACAATCATTTTAAAGTTGTGGTAAGCAATATTTATTATTATAAGCAATATTATCTTGAGTGATTTTAATATTTATTAATATAAACAATAGTGTACTATATAAAATCCTTCAAAAAAGAAAAAAAAAATACTGAAAAAGTTGTCTCTTTCTCTCTCACTCTCTCTCTATATATATTTTATATACACTAGGAACTTGAAAGCATACTACCCATTACTCCTACTATCTCCTTTTGTCTACATTTGTACAAATTAATTCAATACATTAATTATAATACTAAATCCAATAAATTCCTACAATACTATTAGAGATTTAAGTCCACATTATATGTCATGTGTTAATTACACAAATTAATTTTAATTGCTCTTTAACTTCTGATTTCTATATTAATATTTTTAATTTATACTTTTAGTTTATTCCAAGTAATTAAAACCATTTTAGTCCGTTAAAATTACATTAGAAGTGGACGATGGTTAACATTTGATTAATGTTTTTAAGTAGAGGTTAAAGGGTTACTAGATGCTCCATTCAATTAAATTGTCTTATGAGCTAGCTTAATTTAAGCCCCTTCTAATTATTGATCTACTATTCTACCTTATGAGTTTGAATTGATCCAATAGAAACATTGATAAAGGCTAATAAAACTTTGTCAGCTCTACTCCCTTCAGACCCTCTTTTACCTTAGTTTAAAATAATTTTCTAACTTTACTTTGACTTTGTGTTCTATTTACTTTTTGGTTATGTTTGATAAGTATGAATTTGGAGTTTTAGAATTATAATTGAAACCGGTGGAATTAAAAAAAAGCATAAACCAAAATTTTTTCTATTTTCAATCACAAGGCTCCAATAACATCATTAACATTTTAATTAATCTTGGATATTAAGGAAAAATTTTGAACTTACAATTCAATTTGTAGGTTGAATAGTATTCCTAGTGCAACAAAAACTTGTTCTACTAATTGTTTGAATAAATAGAAAGTATGTTATCCAATTACATGAACATATCAATTTATTAAACATGATAATGCATTTTAAAGTTCTTTTCATATGATCAATTATCGGTCAACTGATTTTAGTTTTTATTAATTTAAGCAATATTTTCTTTCACCAAGATAAACTTACAACTTGTTGAGTTGGGTCATTTTTAGAGAAGCAATAAACTCTGCTATGTTAGAAAACAATACCCAATCACTTACCAAAAAAAAAAAAAACAAAAAAATTGTAATTTACCTCTGACAATAATAGAAAATAAACTTTAATAGAAAGACAATACTATATAATGTCCTTCAACTGAAAAATCCTCTCTTTCTCTGTGGTATACACGCGCTCAAACAAGTTCACTAGAAGGAAGAATTTGCATTCGTTTCCCAAGGTAAAAGTGACCATTTGGGCTTGTTTTCTTGATCCAAATGGAATTTGCATTCGTTTCCCAAGGTAAAAGTGACCATTTGTGCTTGTTTTCTTGATCCAAATGGACTGCATCTTTTTATATTAATATATTTCAATCGCTTAAAAATAAATAAATAAATAATGAGGTGACCATTTGCAACTTAGAAATGCTAGTGGGAGAGACAAAATTTCAGTAAGATTAGCTATTGATTAATTTCATTTTGAAGTGCTTTTATTTTTTTAATGAATCAATCATCTTTGAAGTTGTTCTATTGTTTTTAATATTGATTAATTTAAGCAATACCTTCTTCTTAGGCTTCTTTCTCCAAGATAAAGTTTTGGAGTGGGCCTTTTCTAAAAAAGTGAAAAAATTGGGTAGCTATAAAACATATCCAATCGGACGGTCACCAGGGGTGGTTGTAAACCAACTCGTGAGGTACCGCTCTTACTCTACCCTTTCCCTTTGTACAGTTGTGAGAACATAATTAAACCAACCATCTAATAACACGTGCCTGCCTCTGTTCCCTTCTCCCCCTCTAAAACGTTTCCACTCACGCCTCTGGTTCACTTTCAAGTTTCAAATTCACTGAAAAGCTTATAGAGAAAGAGGAAGAGACACACACAAATTCACATCAATGGCCTCTAGATATCTCACCGTCGCAAAGCTTTTCCGATCTAATTGGTCGTTCACGGTGGCCGCCTCTCCTTTCGCCGGCCACCATCACTCTTTCAGCTCCTCCGGCGATTCAGACTACCACACTCGCTCTCAGCCCTCCCGAGGACGTGGTAATGACTCGTACTCAATCTCTCTCTCTGAATCTGTTTCAATTTTGATTTTCTTAAATGTGTTTTGAATTTATCTTTTTGTGATTTTGTTACAGCTACGTAGTGATTTTGTTTACTGATTTTTGGTTCATTTCTATATGTGTGTATATATATAGCTCTTAAGTTGACAATGCTAGCTCAGATGAAACATCCCTTTCTGAATAAAGGTATAGATTCGATGTGCCAAGCAATAGAATACGAGCGAGAGGCAATTGTTAAGGTTGACATGCCCGGAATCGCGAAAGAAGGTCTCGACATTAAGGTCAAAAAACTTGCAATCCACATCGAAGGGAAGGCAGAGAAAGAAGATGAAGATGAGGACGAAATGGGAGTGAGGGGATACTCTGGTGTAATTGATCTTCCTCGGGGTATTTACAACACCGATGAAATCAAGGCCACCATTAAGATGGGTATTCTCAAAATAGTGATCCCCAAGATGGATGGCGTCTCAATTCTCTCTGCAACGCCGATCTCGTTTCGTGGCGTGCCGGCCCCCTACTCAACCACCACGAATGAGAGACGTGTGAAGGATGTATTCAATATTTAAGGTAGATCTTAATTTACTTGATCAATTTACACTCTAGGTAGATCTTGATGTGTGTTTTCTTTGCTACCATATATGCATATATGAACTGAGAACAAGCAGTTAGAAATTTTGTATTATATGTTCATTCAAGGAGAAAAGAGTATGGTTTTGCATTATATGTTTGATGGATTTCTACTGTGTGTGTGTGTGTGTGTTTTGTGTCAATTAGTTTGGCATGAAATGGGTCCTTTGGCTGTGCTGTTGCCCTGTGTTCATTTGTCTAATGGTGTCAATTAGTTTGGAATTTATTTTCTCTAATTGTATATGTTTTGTCAAGTAGCTACAGAAGAGTAATGGGTGATTTGTCTTGGTGCTTGCTTCAAATTTTGCAGTAGCTTTGAATTAGTCAAAGGTGTATATTAAATAAGATTCAGACTCTTTGATTATTGGATGTGGCAATTTGAATGGAGAGTCATACTTTCTTACATATGCAAAAGCAGCTCCATATATGAGAAATGGATTATATATATATATAGGAACACATTTATAATCAAGAAAATAATTATTAATTTGCTATATAAGAGTATGTATTAAGGTTTGTAATGACGTCTAAGTAAATCAATTTTTTTTTATATATTTGACTTCTTGTGGCTACTTTTTCTGTCCATATATATATGAAAGTTAATTTTCCTTTCATCTGTGAATCTAAGGGTCAAGTATTAAGTTTCCATGAACTCCGTTTGTTGATACAAAGCAATAGGCGAATGATTCTGCTCATCAAAAACTTAAAAATAGAAAAGTTATTTATTGTTGAAGGTGGTGGTGTAAAATGATTTTATTTGCATATTTTGATATTTTCTCTTCTACTTTTGCTGATAATTTTGGTTGAATTGTGTAATTGAATGGTTTGCAACTCTTTAAACGGATGCAAGTCTCGCACAGCATTCATAATGGTTTGCAACTGTAGTAATGCTTATTGATCAATACAGTTGTTGTCTTGTTGAAAAAAATAAAATAAAATACACTTAATCTGGCCTATATTCAAGTCAGCAATTGTAAAATCTGTAATTTCTTTCCTTTCCATTTTTTTTTTGCATAATAGTATTCAATCATTATTTTCTCCTATGGTTTATGTTATTAAATGTGTAACCTTGAGACAGCATATGGATCCTACAACATATATTGACAGTAGTGTTTTAATGATTCTGGTTTTCAGGATTTGTATGTGCATTGGCCATCCAATTGTGTGATTTAAGTTCCGAAAAGCATGGAGGACTATTGGTTTCTTTTGTGGTGGCACAACATTTATAGGTAATAGATCCTTTGGCCAATGAACTCTAAATTCAGAACTTTTCATTTAGGGAGGTGATGGTGAATACTGTGAAGTTTATATGACATGGAAGTATTTGATATCTGAGAATATATAGAGAAAGAGGAAGAGACACACACAAATTCACATCAATGGCCTCTAGATATCTCACCGTCGCAAAGCTTTTCCGATCTAATTGGTCGTTCACGGTGGCCGCCTCTCCTTTCGCCGGCCACCATCACTCTTTCAGCTCCTCCGGCGATTCAGACTACCACACTCGCTCTCAGCCCTCCCGAGGACGTGGTAATGACTCGTACTCAATCTCTCTCTCTGAATCTGTTTCAATTTTGATTTTCTTAAATGTGTTTTGAATTTATCTTTTTGTGATTTTGTTACAGCTACGTAGTGATTTTGTTTACTGATTTTTGGTTCATTTCTATATGTGTGTATATATATAGCTCTTAAGTTGACAATGCTAGCTCAGATGAAACATCCCTTTCTGAATAAAGGTATAGATTCGATGTGCCAAGCAATAGAATACGAGCGAGAGGCAATTGTTAAGGTTGACATGCCCGGAATCGCGAAAGAAGGTCTCGACATTAAGGTCAAAAAACTTGCAATCCACATCGAAGGGAAGGCAGAGAAAGAAGATGAAGATGAGGACGAAATGGGAGTGAGGGGATACTCTGGTGTAATTGATCTTCCTCGGGGTATTTACAACACCGATGAAATCAAGGCCACCATTAAGATGGGTATTCTCAAAATAGTGATCCCCAAGATGGATGGCGTCTCAATTCTCTCTGCAACGCCGATCTCGTTTCGTGGCGTGCCGGCCCCCTACTCAACCACCACGAATGAGAGACGTGTGAAGGATGTATTCAATATTTAAGGTAGATCTTAATTTACTTGATCAATTTACACTCTAGGTAGATCTTGATGTGTGTTTTCTTTGCTACCATATATGCATATATGAACTGAGAACAAGCAGTTAGAAATTTTGTATTATATGTTCATTCAAGGAGAAAAGAGTATGGTTTTGCATTATATGTTTGATGGATTTCTACTGTGTGTGTGTGTGTGTGTTTTGTGTCAATTAGTTTGGCATGAAATGGGTCCTTTGGCTGTGCTGTTGCCCTGTGTTCATTTGTCTAATGGTGTCAATTAGTTTGGAATTTATTTTCTCTAATTGTATATGTTTTGTCAAGTAGCTACAGAAGAGTAATGGGTGATTTGTCTTGGTGCTTGCTTCAAATTTTGCAGTAGCTTTGAATTAGTCAAAGGTGTATATTAAATAAGATTCAGACTCTTTGATTATTGGATGTGGCAATTTGAATGGAGAGTCATACTTTCTTACATATGCAAAAGCAGCTCCATATATGAGAAATGGATTATATATATATATAGGAACACATTTATAATCAAGAAAATAATTATTAATTTGCTATATAAGAGTATGTATTAAGGTTTGTAATGACGTCTAAGTAAATCAATTTTTTTTTATATATTTGACTTCTTGTGGCTACTTTTTCTGTCCATATATATATGAAAGTTAATTTTCCTTTCATCTGTGAATCTAAGGGTCAAGTATTAAGTTTCCATGAACTCCGTTTGTTGATACAAAGCAATAGGCGAATGATTCTGCTCATCAAAAACTTAAAAATAGAAAAGTTATTTATTGTTGAAGGTGGTGGTGTAAAATGATTTTATTTGCATATTTTGATATTTTCTCTTCTACTTTTGCTGATAATTTTGGTTGAATTGTGTAATTGAATGGTTTGCAACTCTTTAAACGGATGCAAGTCTCGCACAGCATTCATAATGGTTTGCAACTGTAGTAATGCTTATTGATCAATACAGTTGTTGTCTTGTTGAAAAAAATAAAATAAAATACACTTAATCTGGCCTATATTCAAGTCAGCAATTGTAAAATCTGTAATTTCTTTCCTTTCCATTTTTTTTTTGCATAATAGTATTCAATCATTATTTTCTCCTATGGTTTATGTTATTAAATGTGTAACCTTGAGACAGCATATGGATCCTACAACATATATTGACAGTAGTGTTTTAATGATTCTGGTTTTCAGGATTTGTATGTGCATTGGCCATCCAATTGTGTGATTTAAGTTCCGAAAAGCATGGAGGACTATTGGTTTCTTTTGTGGTGGCACAACATTTATAGGTAATAGATCCTTTGGCCAATGAACTCTAAATTCAGAACTTTTCATTTAGGGAGGTGATGGTGAATACTGTGAAGTTTATATGACATGGAAGTATTTGATATCTGAGAATATGTAGGTTTGTTTTCTTTTGAATTTTGTGTTCTGTAATCCCTATTGGTTTGACCATGGAATACCATATTAGTTTTTTTTTTTTTTTTTTTTTTTAACTCCAACTGAAATTTAATTAATGCTAGTGAGTTTTAACTTTTACCTTTTACAATTTTTTTCTTTTCTTTTCTTTTTGATCTTTGTGGGTTGAGTAGATAGAAATGCAGTGCTTGCTCAATTAATAAATTGAAGTATAATTTTGTTGTTTTGTATTTTTATTTTTTGTGTGCGCAGAGATTGGTCATCCTTGTTTAAGATTTAATTTTCCCTTTCACTGCAAGTTGTGTTGTCCATTCTATCTTTTTTCTTTTACCCCTTTTACTTCAAATTGCACCCTCATACCCTTTTTACTTGTAATTGCACCCTCACTGCAAGTCTGCAAGGAGTGTTTTTGTTCCTTTTCTTTTTCTGGAAAGCAAATTTACTTTTTCTTACAAGACTAATGCAAAAAGAACTTTGGAGATCAAAACTGCAAAATTTACATTTCAGTTTGAGCTTTGAAAATTACTACATAATAGTTATGTGATTAAAGATCAAAACTGCTACATCAGAATAGAGTGTTTACAAAAGTGTTGGCTGGTATATGAATTATAGTGGGGCTGGTAAAAAAAAAAAAGAAAGAGGAGGATTATAGTGGAGAAAAAACATTTGTGCTTAATGCTTTAGTAACTTAGTAGATTCTCTGCTAAATTTATATTCCAACCAATGTAACTTTTTTGTTATGCAAATTGTATAATCTGGTCGGCAAGTAATTAATTTGGACAGTAAGATTGTATCAGCTAATTATCAGTATATGATATATATCTATATATAGAAAGAGAGAGAGAGGACAGTGTGTTAGGTCTGGTACGAGTCTCTTCTGTTTAGACTTTTGCAGTCTGTAATCTGTATTCCTATATATTAGCCTTTTATGATATATTCCAACTGAAATTTAATTGCTAGTGAGTTATATCTTTTTCATATATATATATATATATTTAGTTTTTCCAATATCTTTTTGGGTTGAGAAGATAGAATCAGTTTTTCGTTTAGTCAGTCTTTAATCCTTGGAAAGAAGTTTTTTTTTATTCCGTTCTCCCTTCTGAACAGCAATTTTACAAAAAAAAATTTTCTTTTCATTATTATTAAAAAATCATTAATTTTACTTGACAGTGATTAAAGAGTTAGTAGAGTTATGTGGAAGGAGATTCGAACTTTGAATTATAGGGTAGAACACTTACACCTTAATTACTATGAGATTTTGTGATTTTGTCACAAAGATTGATTACTATGAGATTGTGATTTTGTCTTGGAGAGAGAATTTCATAACATGCCTCTATTTGGTACATATCTGACTATACCGGAATAAAATATTTGATCAAAACTACCACAAGTGAAGCTTACCGTATGAATTATAATTGAGAGGCCCAATATGAATTATAATTGAGAAAAATTATGGGAGAGATATTCATATTCTACTTTTTAATATTTATATTATAATTTTAAATGAAATAATAATTTTATTTTTATTTTTATAAATAAATAATTATTACTTTTTAAATGACACAACTGTTCTTTCATATTTTCTCTCCTTATCTCTAATCTTTAATATTTTAAATATCTTTTGACAACACAAATAAAATAAAATAAAAATTGAATAATTTTTTTTTAAGTGACCAAAAAAAAAAAAAAAAATTGTTATGTTGAATAAATTGTCTCTTTTGGCCAGATGAAAAAATTAAAAAGTAACCATTTAAAAAATTATCTCTTTTGACATGAAGAAAAAAAAAACCACAAAAAAATATATTTAGTGAATAAATTATCTTAAAAAAAAAAAAAAAAGTGTTATATCAATGGCCATCTCCCAAAGGAAAGTCAGGGGTTCAAGTCTAAGAGTGCTATTTTTATTGAATAAATTATTTCTTTTAATAGGATTTATAAAAAATTATCAAAAATAAAGTTACCTCTTTTGACAAAATTGAAAAAAAAAATCAATTTTGTTGAATAAATATATATATATATAAAAAGTCACTATGGAATAAATTATTCTTTTGACTGCCAAAAATAAATTATTTTCTTTGAAAGGACTTCCAGAAAAAACAAAACGAAAGGAAAAAAGAAATAGTAAAAAAAATAAATTAATAAATTAAAGTTGTATAAAGGGTAGTTATGACATTATAAATTAAAGAATTGTGTATTAATGAATTCAATGACTTTTTTGTCATTTTCTTTAAAAGAAAATGATAAATATATTGCAATTGGAGAAAAATAGGATACGAATGATTATCGTGAATTAGATTGGCCATGTCCGACTTTTAAGAAAGAAAAAAAAATTCCTATTTAAACACCTCGTCTTTTAGATATAAACCAAAATTCCATCTTTCAGAAAAACTTTTAAGTAATTTGAAGATCTTGTAAGTCTACCACTTTCACTTTCTCTGGACTTTGTAAGCTTAGGATTCCATTTGATAAACCACAAAGATTTATACAAAATATTATCAAAACTATATAATAAAACTCGTTACAAAGCCTAAGGAGTGTAAATTCCGAATCGATATTGTTGTGAGAATGTGTTCTTAATTAACTTTTTAATTTGTGATAACTTATATATATATGTCCGATTTGTATATTTAACCATCATATCTTCACACCATTGCCTTTCTCTATTCACGATATTCTTTTTTTTTTTTTTTTTGGTTTACACAAAAAATTATAAGTCTTGCCTTTTAAGGAGTTTGACATAGCCATATCATGTTACGGTTAGGTGACTATTTCAGTGATAAAAATATAAGATTGGTTACTCTATGAAAATAAAGAAATTTGAGAGAAAAGAAGGAAGAGAGAAAGTGATGGGTTTAGGTTTTAGGTTTAGGTATTAGGTTTTAGGTTTAAGAGATAATATTTTTTTTTTTTTTTTTTTTAAACTATCCAAATAGATCGTGTGTTAAAGACACTGTCAAATTTGGTACCCATTTCAAAATTTTTATTCGGTTTTCAATCAGTACTCTAAATTAATTAGTAGAATCTCTGGTAAATTTTCAAATTTGTTGTGACTTTAAATTTAAATAATATAATTAGGTGAAATTGGACAATAAGGAGAAAGTAAAGATACTATAAACTCAAATATTCGGTCAGTATTTTTCCAACAATAAGACTGTATTAACCTTGATCGGTCAATAATTTGTTCTATTTGATTGTAAATTTTAAATTTGAATGAATATAGTGAGATCATAAGATATTCAAAACAGCTAAGAGTTAATATCGAACGGTAGAAATATGAGTGTAGGAAAGGCTAGCAACAAATTTACTAAGGGTGTGTTTAGTGACTCAAAATAATTTTTGTTTTCTGTTGTCAATCATTAAAAAAGAGAAACAAACACAAAAATCATGTTTAGTAATTTGTTTTTGTTTCCTCTTAATGAAAAACATTTTTCATTTTTATGAAAGAAAGAGTAAACATCAAAAATGATGTTTCCTTTGAACGTTTTCACCACTATTTCCCTCGTTGTTTACGGAACAATTGACATTACTCTTCCATTAATATACAACCACTGACATTACTCCATAAGTACTTTTATATTATATATCTATATATATATTATACAAAATTTATTTTTATATTATATATATATACATTATACAACTGTACGCCCTGTATTTTTTTTTTTTTTTTTCCTTTTTCTGATTGTTATACATGTATTAGTTGTGATTTGTTTTCAGATTTTTTGTTAATATATTTGTATATATAAAATTTATTTTTATATTCTATATATATACTGAAGATACAAAAAATTCCTTCTCCCTTTCTCTCTCTAGAATTCTTACATTTCAACCAAAAAATATCTCCCTCTTTCTTTCCATTACTTCTCCTATTTATAGATGTTTACAAATGTTGATGGACTGCTGGATCTAGGCCCGTTCCTCCATGAGTCCTGGTCATCTTTGATGGGCTTATTCGCGTTCGGCCCATATGGCAGTGTCTTTCTATGGGCCTGACCCATCTGTACGGACCGGATGTCGCGTTTGCAAGTCATATCCGGCCCATGTCATCTCGGGCCTCCTCAACTGCCCCAATAATTACCCCTTGTTTAATAAGGGGGTAATTATTGAAGGCGTCTCATCATGACGTTGACGGCTCGAGAAACCCACATGGGGGAACGGACGGTCAGATCCAGAATCAATGCTCCGGGGCTCGATGAATTTCTCGCCTTCCTGACGCTTCGGCCCTCGGGTCTCCCTCGCCTTTATAAGGCTCTAGAATACCACTTCATGCCTTTTTACCTTCTCCATCAGCAGTCAAATCTCTCTCTTTTTAGAACAGTGCTAAGCTTCTTCCGGTGAAATCCTTCAAGAGTCATTCTTCCAGCGGTCTCGCAGTGCTCTTTGTTGCTTTCTACCTCAGAGGTTAGTTTTGTTCCTTTTTACTTTCGGCAGGCTTCTTTTTACCCTTTTAGATCCTTCAATCACTTCCACCATGATTGTAGATCTAGATGTTCTTCGTATGAGACTTAGACTTCCTGACAATATCCAAGTTAGGGTTTGCCCTAAAGATGTTAATATTATGACCGGTGCCGGCCTCCTTCCCGGCGAAGTTTTATTTTCAAACCTTCAACTAAATGTCGTTAGGTTCCCTCTGCACCCCTTCTTTAATTATATCTTCAATAGACTGGGGATATCCCCCCTGCAGGTAAACCCCAATTTCTTTAGAATCATATCCGTTATGCTACTGTTGATTCGTGACAGAAGTCTGGACCTTGACCTCATAGATCTTCTTCTGTGTTATAAGGTCAGTAAGATCCGAACTAACGAGCCCTTCTACCACTTCTACCCGATCGACAAGATGTCCATATGTACGGACACAATCAAATCTGAAAAGGGTTGGAGGGATAACATTATGGGCATTAGTGGGGCCTGGTCTTCGCCGGCTGCAGAGGATTACCCAATCCCGAGCGCTAGCTAAGACTAATGCCCACAATGCCTCAATTTTCTTTTTGCGTTTACCAGTGCAAGTATCACCCGTTCGGCCTTCGAGTATTTTCGTTCTGCCTCGGTCATTGTTTTACTGACATAAAATACCGGGTGTTGCACGCCTTCCTTGCAACGAATCATAACGGCACTTGTCGCAACACTAGATACTCCAAGATACAAAAATAACTTTTCTTCTGGATCCGGGGCTGACAGGACTGGTGGGTTCTGCATATATTCCTTCAGATGGGTCAATGCTTGTCGTTGCTCATCTCCCCAGACCTGTCTTCCATGACTCCGAATCGTGTCAAAGAATGGCTTGCAGCGGTCTGACAATTTTAAAATGAATCGACTTAATGCAGCTATTCGTCCTGTGAGGGCTTGCACCTCTCTGATCGTCTTTGGCTCGGCATTCTTAATCAAAACCTCTGCTTGAGCGGGGCTAGCTTCGATGCCTCTGCGGTTGACCACGTGTCCCAAAAACTGACCGGAACTCACATCGAACGAGCACTTGGTTGGATTGAGCCTCATCCCATATCGCCTCAGCACATCAAATATATCTTACAGATGTTTCAGATGATCATTCTTCTTCCTACTCTTTACCACCATATCATCAATATAGGCTTCCACAATCTTTCCTATTTGATCCTTGAAAATTTTGCTAACAAGTCTTTGATAAGTTGTTCCCGCGTTCTTTAGTCTGAAAGGCATAACTTTATAGCAGTATGTCCCTCGCTCGGTTACAAAAGAAGTTTTTTCTTCATCTGCCGGGTCCATAGGGATCTGATTATAACCTGAATAAGCGTCCAGAAAGGTTAAGCGTTCATACCCGGTGGTAGCATCCACCATTTGATCAATCTTTGGCAACGGGAAGCTATCCTTCGGACAGGCTTTGTTCAAATTGGTGAAATCAATGCATACTCGCCATTTCCCATTCTTCTTCTGCACGACAACGACGTTGGACAACCAATCAAGGTAGTGTACTTCTCTGATAAATCCCGCATCAAGCAGCCTATCAACTTCCTCGGCTATGATTTGGTTGCGTTCTGGAGCAAATCTTCGTTGCTTCTGTTTTACTGGTTTGAAATTGGGATTGACATTCAAGGAATGACAGGATACGGAGGGATTAATTCCAGGCATGTCTAGGTGACTCCATGCAAATACATCGGCATTGTGAGACAAGAAGTCAGCTAGCTCTTGCCGCTCTTCCCTGGTCAGTCTTATTCTTACTCTGGTAGTTCGTTCTGGCCTGGACTGATCGATCTGCACATCCAGAAGGGGCTCTTCGGTCAAGTCAACTGACTCCTCCACCCTGTTCTGCTTGGGCGGATGTTCCTGTAATTGCTATCTGGGGCTTGCCGGTCGGACGAGCGCCTTCCCTTTCCCAGCATACTTTAGTGTGACGGAATAGCACTCTTTGGCTGCAACCTGATCCCCACGAATGTCTATCACCTTATTTCCATCGGGTCCGAGGCACCTCGTGACCTGATGCAAAGTTGAGGGTACTCCTTGGACTCTGTGAATCCATCCTCTTCCCATCAGGAGATTGTACGAGGGGTGAATCTCTACAACCACAAAAGTTTCCATAAGAGCTCGTTCTGCAGCTTGAACTTCTACTTCCACCATTCCGACGGGCTCTACCCTCTTGCCATCGAATCCTAACAGGGGATTTCCAGTGGGCTTGAGCCTCTCTGGTTTAATCTCGAGCCGATCAAATGTGTCCCTCGGCATGACATTCGCACTGCTCCCGGGATCGATCAGAACTCTGCGCACCAGGCAGTCCGCCACTATCAACTGACTACCAACGGGTCTTCATAGGGGATTTGAACACGCTGCAGGTCTGTCCTGTCGAACTTTATCTGTATCGATGTGATCTGTTGGTGTAGAGTATTCACACTGCTGACCCTTTTCTTCATCTGCGCCTGCCGTAGGCGCGCTCGGAGCAGCTCATCTGAATCTTCGCTGGGCTCGGGTCGACCGTGGATAGCATTGATTATACGAACTGGTTGTGAATTGTGGGAGCTTTGTTTATGGCTCCTTTTTACTTGTTCCATCGGTCGATTCTGCTCTGTCGCCGAGCCTTGAACATAACTCGCGAACTCCCCTCTAGCTATCAACATCTCCACTTGCCTTCTCAAATTCCTGCATTCATTAGTCTGATGACCGAAATCGGAATGGAAAGCACAATGTTTAGTCTGATCCCTCTGTTCGAGGGGTTGCCTAATTGGCAGTGGTGGATGAAACTTATCTTTGTTCTCCTGATATAGCCTCGCCAGAGTGACCTTCAGCGGAGTGATCAGCTCTTCCTCCCTGGACCTCTTTTCTGCCTTCCAGGAGGTCTGACGCTGCGGCGGAGCCTGCTTCTGCCTGATCTGTACCTTGGACTTTTCCTCGGTCGACACGAGCGACGCTGTCCGAGCATTGGCTGCCTCCTCTTCTTCTAGGCGCACAAAGCCGTCGGCTCTTTCATTGAGTTCATCCATAGTCGTCGGCGTGTTCACTACCAGACTGGTATGGAACGGAGTGCCACGTGTCATGGCTAACTTGAAGGCTTGAACCGCTGTAGAAGGGTGGCATTCGATCACCATACTCTTAGTGAGATTAAACCTGGTGAGAAAAGCCTAGAGACGTTCATCTTTGTGCTGTCTCATTGTGAATAGGCTTGAGATGTCCTTTGGCGGACGCTTGTTCCCATAGTACTGACTTCTGAACCGATCGCACAGGTCTCGGAAGCTACCAATGGAGCTCCTAGGCAAGTTCTTGAACCAGCTGAGCGCCGGTCCAGCTAGGCTTGTAGGGAAACATTTGCACATTAAAGCGTCGTTTTCCGTATTCAGGGCCATCTTCAACTGGATATGGTACACATGATCGATCGGATCGGTTGTTCCGTCAAACAGAATAAATACTGGCATATCAAACTTCCTTGGATGCGGGGTATTCAGGATTTCGTCAGTGAATGGTGAATCAACCGTTCGAGCTGCGGATCGGAGTGCTTCATTCTCTCTTTGGCGCCCAGTGGTAGCTCTGTGAGCTACGGTTCTGCTCTCCGAACCGCGATGAGTGATTGTAGCCATGGAGGGCCGGTAGGACGAATCGAACGACCGTTCCTCTATGAGCTCTCTTTGCCAAGGCGACGCAACTTGGCGGCGATCAACCTCTATCACCTCCTCTCGGTTGAACCTTTCCCGATGCGGATCGAAGGTCATGGCTTAGTTCTGTCTGATCTGCTCATGTCGCGGATCAATGTGAGTCGATCCTTCGTGATCCTCAACTCGACGAGCATTTGGCGGCAAATCATCCATCCTCCTTTCATCACGGTGGAGAGTTGACTGACTGTTCTCGTCCTGCTCGCCTTGATGCGCGATATTAGATTGAACACCTCCTTCTCCGGCCGGAGGTGGACGCGAAACCGCGGGCATTTGCTGATGTTGCATTCCAGCTTTCAATTCTGCATTCTCTTTTTTGAGAGCCTCGATCAAGTTCATCAACTCCTCAAGCTTCGTTTGCTAGACAGCCTCTATCGGATTGGAGCTTTCACCTATCATTATTCCTGAACAGAGTAAAGGCATTAATCTCAAGTTCGTGAGTAGATCCGAGCTTCGTGAGTGGGAATTTTTCAGATCTTGTTTCGAATTCTTCGAATTATGCTCACGGTTGACGAGATCTGAATTGTCCGAATTCTAAATCCGTCAAATCCTGCCACAATCGAACAACTCGTTATTGCGTAGATCTGAAGCCACTTCTGCCAAAGCAACAGGAACTAAAATTCCTCCAGAGTAGGTCACAATCGCTCAGATCTGGATCCAACTCCCAAAGATCGAGTCTCGATCACCCGGATTGGTCTGAATCCACGCGATATTAATCATTGATCAACCAATCTTCCACGACTCCCACAGACGGCGCCAATTGAAGATACAAGAAATTCCTTCTCCCTTTCTCTCTCTAGAATTCTTGCATTTCAACCAAAAAATATCTCCCTCTTTCTTTCCATTACTTCTCCTATTTATAAATGTTTACAAATGTTAATGGACTGCTGGATCTAGGCCCGTTCCTCCATGAGTCCTGGTCATCTTTGATGGGCTTATTCGCGTTCGGCCCATATGGCAGTGTCTTTCTATGGGCCTGACCCATCTGTACGGACCGGATGTCACGTTTGCAAGTCATATCCGGCCCATGTCATCTCAGGCCTCCTCATATACATTATACAATTGTACGCTTATCTTGCCCTGTATATATATATATATATTTCATTTTTAGATTGTATTTTTTATTGTGATTGGAAGTTAGATGTTGATAGATGGATGAAAAAATAAATTAAAAAAATTTCTAATTTTTTTTTTTTTGTAACAAATGTTTTACTAAATAGTGCTTTTTGTTTTTTGTTATTAAAAGATAATTAAACGTTATTTTTACTTTCTATTTTTATTTTGAAAAATTAAATTATGTTTCTGTTTCTTTGCGACTGCAAAAATAGAAAACGAAAATGTTACTAAACGCACCTTAAACAAAAACTGACACGTCCAAGAGGAGGCTTGGGTCCCCCCACCAAAATTTTTATTTTTATATTTATTTTTTTAATATAGGTATATTTAGCCCAATATTTTAAAAAAGAAAAAATGAGTAGTAGTATTAGTTCCTTAATTTTAATCCATTCAAACAAGCCCACTATATAAGTCACAATTTTAAAACAAAGCCCTAACCAAATATGCTCAAGCCAAACAAGCCCTAAACAATCACTAAATCCAAGTACAAAGTATTCCTAAATTTCTAATCTTGCACAAATAAAAGAACTCACTCCTTCTCTCCTTCTAAAATCTAACCCTAATCCCTCTGAAATTTTTCAGAACCTCAATTTTCCTTGTTTAATATTAGCCCCCACTAGATTTGCCCTTAAACACGTTACCACTCTACCCCATCTCTAACCTTTTTCCCACACTCTCTCTTCTCTCGATAACCCCCCTCTCCGAGAAAACACAGAAAGACCTAGAAACTCTTCAATGGCCTTATCTCGCTTCCCTATCAGCAGACCCAGCTCTTCCAGCCTATTCCTTGTCAACCTCCTCCGCCTGAACCGTCCGATCCCGGTGGTTCCTCCGTTCGGCGCCACCGTTCGACTCTTCCATGCCACGCCTCCGACTAGCGACTCCGGCAAACAAATATCCGGAGATCATCTCCGAAGTAAGCAGTACCAAACACTTGAAAATCCGTCTTTGGATTTTACAAATATCGGTGTGATTTTTATTTTTTGCGTTGTTTCAGGTACGATCAAATCATTCAAGTTCTTGCAACATCCGTACCAAAGACAGGGACCAATGGAGCCCTGTGACTTGAAGGAAGATGCAAACGCCTTGTTCGCTCGTCTGGACATGCCCGGAATTTCCAAGGAAGGTCTTAAACTGTGGTACGAGGATGAGTCTGTGTACATCACCGGAAAGGAAGGAGAGAAGGACGAAAAATTCTTGCCGGAAGACCGAAAGGGTGACATGATACTGAATGAGCTCCCAAGGAGGACGATCTCGACCAGCCTGGCCGTCTCGCCGCGAAGGTTCAAAATCGATCAGATCAAGGCTTCTCTGAAAAATGGTGTTCTCAGGGTTGTGATCCCTAAGCACAAGCACAAGCCAATGGAGGGCAACAACGACGTCGCTTGTATCGAGATTGAGTGAGATTGGCACAAGGAGACACATCCATTTTCAGTCTTTAGGTGGTTAGCTTGATTAGGGTTTTGTTAATGTTGTAGTTATTTTAGTAAACTAAAATATATTTGAAATGTTGCTTCTCTGTTTTAATTCAATCCGTAGACGACGATTGAGAGTAATCTTAGTGTTAAATGGGCACTAGTATCTCATATGCACTTAGTTTGGTCAGCCTTTATATGAGACATTATGAGAATTTGAAGTGCTTTTCTTTTCTTTTACTTTTTTTAATTTTTTTTTTTATGAATTGTTTCTTTTAAAAATATGTTAACATCAAATTAAGCAATATTTAACATAGCCATTTTAATAAAAGTTATCAACTCAACTAGGTACAAAGTAATAATAAGAAAAAATTTTGGAAAAAAGAAAATTTTAACTTACATCTCACAAGAATAGAAAAGGAACATTAATGAGAAAGACAGTAGTAGGCTTCAATTATATCCACACGCAAGTTTCACTATGACCCGTTAATTAACGTTTTTATTTTTTTATTTTTTATTTTTTTTAAAAGTAAAATTAATTTTATTTTTTTGAGATAAAATAAAAAGTAAAATGATGTTTAATAAGGGGATTTTGTTTTTAATATTTTAATAGTAGAAAAAATAAGTTTAATAATTTTGATATTAATTTTGCTTTCCTGTTAACTTTCTCTCTCAACACTGGACTAATCTGCTCCGGCGAGCCATTATTCAATTGAGTTTCTCAACCCAGAAGCAAAGTGTAAATTGGGTCTTTCAACTGACCTCAGCTCCTCCAATATTCAATTGGGTCTGGAGACCTCATGAACACAATTAAATCTCTATGAACTCTCTCTTTCTCTCTCTCTAACACCGAATTTCGTAGAGTAAAATTGCAAAAAAATAGTTAGTGAACCACAGATTCCCAAAGATTTACAAACACTTTCTTGAATTCAAAAAAGCCCTAAAAGATCTTGAACACTCTCAAGATTTTGCTGATAAAACCATGTAATGCAGATAAATTTCGAACCAAACAAGCAATTAATCATACAAACACAAAAATCGACCGAGCATTGCAACGATTCTCTATGCTCAAATGAACTCAGAACAGAGAATTTAGAGAGAGATTACTACTACAAAGAATCTTTGGTTTTCATACATTCAAAGAACCTTCAATTTCACAGAACACAAACTCAGAGAGAGAAACCTTCAGGGGGATTTAGAGAGAGAAAGTATGAGTGAGTTTAGAGAGAGAAACTTGTCTCAGAGATCTCATCCTTGTTCACTCTCGCCATGACACCAACGAACAGTAACATAAGCAGAAACGAACACAGAGAAATCCACTTCTTAGAACCACCATTGCCATTACACAGTCGCAGAGAGCCCCATCTCTCTCTCCCTAAACTATCCTCACTTTCTTTCTCTAAAATGGAACCAAATAACACATAGAGAGACAATTAATAATAAAAAAAGCAGTAGAGCAGAAATGGAGTCAAAGGAGTAAAATGAAATCTGTAGAGAGAGAGAGAGAGAGAGAGAAAATCTGAGAGCTACAGTAAAGAAGTAATTCCTTGTGACAGTACAGAAAACAGAGAAAGCAAAATTTTTCACTTTTTCTATTCTTTACAAAATTAGAAAGTAATTCTTTAAAGCAAAAAAGTAAAAATATTTGACTAAATATAATTTTTACTTTTGATTTCAATTTTTTCAAAAGTAAAAATTATACATACTATTTGTTGCCGCATTTGAGTGATCTTCCATTAAAAAAAGCATCAATGATATTCAGTTTACAAAATCCAGTTGAAGGAAGGGACCATTATACATACTATTTATTGTGGCATTGCCACGGTAAAAGTTACACAATTCAGAGTTGGTGTCATTTGTTTGCTTCGCAAATGGCAACCAAGAATGTTACCCGAAACTGAAAGCACGCCGTTAGAGCTACTTCTCCTTTGTCTGCACTTTGTACAAATAATTCAACAGTTTCTAACACCAATTCCAATCAATTAAGTAATGCAAATTTAAAATAAATAATAGAGATGTATAATATGAACTTCATTAAGGTAACTATTCATTAATTTTAATGCGCAAACTAAATTGGTCTTTATTGTTCTTTTGTAATACTATTATTAATTTTTTTCAAGGTAAAACCATTTCAATTAGTCCGTTAAATTTGCATTAGAATTGTAAAGTAGTGACAGTCAACACTTGATTAATCATTAAGCAAAGGTTAATTAAATAACAAATGCACCATTCAATTAATGTATTTCTTATGAGCCACCTTTATTACCCGGGTGATTATTGATTGACTATTCTACATTTAAATTTGAATAGAAAAGAAACATTTTGATTAATTATTGTCAGTTGTACTCCCTTTGCACCTTTCTTCTTTTTCGTGTAAGATTATAATAATTTCCCATCTACTCTGACAAAGGTTAAAAGGAAATTTGTGATTCAAATAAATTAGTTGCCCAAAATTGTGACCAAGTCAAAATGGAATTTCTTTAGCATTTTAATTAGCTTTTGGTGCGAGGGAAAAATTTGAAATTACAATTGAATTTGTATGTTGAAACTTGAAACATTTCAATTAAATTAGTAGAATTTTTCAGCGCAGGTTCAAAAACTTCTATCATACATTTATGATATGCATCACCAATTACGAAATTCACTTGTAGACAAACTCGGGACGACAGTTGTCCTTGGGAAGGCAGAATTACTCCAACTGATGGATGACACGTGTCCTGCATCTGTTCCCTTCCATCTAGTAATACTTCCCATCTCACTGTCACTTTTACAAACCCTCAGAGAGTTCACATCAATGGCCTCCAAATGCGTCACCGTTGCAAAGCTCCTCCTCCGATCAAACCGCTCATTGACGTCGGCCGCCGCCTCTCCGGTCACCGGCCGTTATAAGTCATTCAGCTCCCAGTTCTACCGAGGAAGAGGTAACGACTCCGTCGTACTCATCATATGTCTATAGATCTGTTACTAATTAGCCATTTTCTTGACTCCTTCGTTTACTGTGTGTTGTGTTTGATTCACATGTACATAGAGTTGTTCATAGCACTTTGATAGCAAGGATGAGACATCCGATTATGACTCAAGGTCGGGAAGCGATGTGCAATGCAGAGGAATACCAGTCAGAGGCAATAGTGAGGATTGACATGCCTGGAATCGGGAAAGACGGTCTGGACATTCAGATCAAAGGCGATTCAATCCACATCGTTGGGAAGGCAGAGAAAGAAGCAGAAGATGAAGAGGATATGGCAGTGAGGATATACAAAGGCGCGATTGATCTTCTTCCGAGTCTTTACGACACACACGAAATCAAGGCGTCCATTAAGTTGGGTGTTCTAAGAACGGTGATTCCGAAGATGAAAGGCTCAACTCCCAATAATGCCGCGACGATCAAGTTTCACGGCGCCCCCGACGTCGTGCTACCGTGGGAAAGAGACGTGTGAAGGATAGAATTACAATTGGCTGGATCTTAATTTACTCTCTAGTTAACTTACAACTGACTATTGTTATAAATTTAATGTCTGTTTGCTTTGCTGCTATGTATATATCCATGAACAATCAGTTTGGAATTTTTTTAATTGCAAAGGGATATATATATATATATGTAGGTGCAAAGATTGAGAAGAATAAAACAACTCAGTCAAAAACAATAAAAATAAATAAGAACAGTGTGTAGAGAAGCGTAGAATTTGCTTGATCCTTTATTGGAGGTCTTAGCCTCTATTTATATACAAAAGATTGCAAAATTATGGTAGGATTCGCGTTACTTGCCCTCCAATTCTTTCTATATAACCATTCTTTTCTAATAGAGTTCTTTCCATTGTCGAATCTTCCATATATAGAAATTGCCTTGTACAGAATTTCCTATCTGAATTTTCCTTCTACAATAAATCCTTCAAATGGTAGGATTTGTGCATTCTTGGGCTGAATATATTTTGATCCGGCTGGGCTTGGGTAACAGGCCGGATGTTAAATACTCATACGCTGGGCTGACGACAAGCTGGGCTGATGACTTCTTGATTCGGCCTTGATGGAAGTTGGAGGATAAATAACAATGGTCTTGGGCTGTAAATACCCTCAATTTGGGCTTGAGCATGATGGACCTTATATGTCCTTGGAATGTAGATATGGGTAGTGGTGACGTGTGCGCTTTTTATTGGAGGGAGTTTTTTTCCCTCCACACTTTACCCCAAATTCCATTTTTAATTGAGTGACGGCTCCTATTAAAGAGGGAATTGAAATCGGTTTTTACTTCGCTTCAGAAACGGTTCGTGGTTTTTCGTTATTACTCCGTCACACAAGATTTTGCAAGAGTTACATTTACCCTTGCTGCACTTCTGCGTCCTTCATTCCATCGCTTCCTTCGCTTTGTCAGGTTAGTCTCGCATCTTTCTCTTCAATCTTTCATTATGAGTACTTCATCTACTCCTGAACGTGCAAACCTTGGGGATTCTGAATCCACACCTTCATCTTCCCCCGTTCGCATTAGGGCTCCCCCTCCTAGGGTTTCTACAGATCGCCCTTCGTTGAATCCATTAGGTACTTCCCCTCTCCCAACCGAAACATCCACCTCAGGCTCTGATTATGTTCTTACCCATGAAGAGAAGAAAGCAATCATCTCTATTCGCCGCATCAAGTTCTCTATTGCTTCGGTAATGGAAGAATTTGATATTCCTGAGGGAGTAGAAATTGCAGAATATCCCGAGGGTGCCGATTTCACCTCCGCCGAAGGAATTGAGGAGGATGAGTTGCTTCTTTCGGTAGGGCACCTTAACGCCCTCCGATTCCTTCTTCATCCCTTCTATCATTTAGTTTTCAATAAGCTAGGTCTCGCCCCCCTTCAGGTAAATCATAATTTCTTTCGCATCCCTTCGGCACTGTTGGTGCGCCGGAAATTAGAGGCTCTAGATTTGACCCTTGCCGACCTTCTGCTTACTTACAATATATCTAAGCATGGGACCGAGCCTGGTCGCTTCTTTTTTACTTCTCCCCTTCATCAGAGGATATGCACGAACCTCCCTTCATCCGAAAAGAAATGGAAAGAAAGGATGGTTGTAGTTAAAGGAAAATGGTTCGTGTCCCAATCAATTGCGCTCCCTATCCCGCGCAAATTCGGGAAATTAGGTATAGAATATTTAACCTCCCTTCATACCAAGTGTTCTGGCTGTTTTCCTTGCCAAGTCTTAATATTTCGTCGTATTTATGAGTTTCTTAGTGTTTTTTCAGCTACATTCCCATCCTCCGCAGCAAGGAACAGACTTTCTTTTCTTGAGGAACGAGTCTGGAGTGACCCCTCGCCTATCGAGGACCTGCTAACTTCTTCAAACCTCAAGGACATTGCCTCCAATGCCGTTGCTGCAGACTTTATGGATCTGTCTCTACCATCCTTTGACAGTTTCCCCATGACTGAGGAGGAGATACAGAGGGCTGAGGCTTTAAAAAAGAAAGCAGAAGATGCCCAACCCTTGGTCGTCATTGGATCAACTGAGGATGAGGTGGAGATTGAGGAACCACCATTGAAGAAATCTAGCCTCAACCCCTCATCCTCTGGCAAGGGTAAGGTCCCTTCTAAAAGCAGAGGGAAAAAGGCTGGAGAGGCCGAACCTGAAGATGAAGTCAGGGCCTTTGTCTTGGCTGAGACTGGGGCTCCTTGGACTCCTTCCTTCACCAGGGCTGATAGGTCAGTCCTGCACTCAGGGGATTCTGTGATTACAGACCCTTCAGTTGCACTGGCGGTGGCTCGAGGAATGTGGCTCCCAAAGGACGAGGAAGCCATCAGCCAAATGGGGTTGGAGCAACTACTCCCCTCTGCCCCAGTCCGGGCCATAGAGGTTCACATTGCTCCTTCAGCATTAAGTTACTCTTACTTGCTTATGTTTCTCTTTATGCTTATATTTGCTTCCCTGTTAAACAGAGTCTATACCACACCATGGCCTTCTGCGCCACTGCTGAAGCTCAATCCCTCTCCATCAAGAAGTTGGAAAAGGATCTTGACAATGCAGAGAAGAGAGCCACTACTGCCTCTACCAATCTGAATATAGCTTCTGAAGCCAAGGATGCGTACAAGAGGCAGTTGTCGGCCTCTAAGGCTAAGGTGGATTCTCTTCAGGCCGAGGTTCAACGCCTGACCGAGGCTCTTACTACTTGCTTCAAGGCGGGGAAGCAAATGCAGGGGCGCTACTCTTGTCTGGCGCACCTGGCTAGTGCTAAAGCGTTCCGGTCTGGCTACAATCAGGGCTCAGGCCCTAAGACGATGGATTCGGACGCTTTTGACAAGAAAGTGGGGGTGCACTTCCCATACGATGAAGGGCCAGAGGCTTTGGAAGCTGAAATCCGCTTTGCCGAGATGGTGAAGGCGCACTTGAAGGGTACTCCTAGCTCCCCTGCTCCTGCGACTTCAACTCCTCCTACCTCAAGTCCTAATGTAGTGGATGCTTTTGAATCTACTCCCTTCGATCCGAAGAGGAAGTAGAGCCATGTATTTTGTTTTTATGAACAGCCTGTTTTGGGATAATGAATATAATTTTTCGTTTTAGGCTTTGCCTGACTTGTTTTTGCTGTATGCTCTTAATACTGTTCATATTTCTCTGTCTGGTAATGTGTTTAAACACTAAACATTGTCTTTATGCTTCGGATTTATGCTATCCGTGAAAACGCAAGGATTGTGGGAAGAAGGAGATCCTTTTAATAGTTTAGTTGATATCGCAGGATGATTCATATGGACAATGATTTAACTGTTAAATGAACCCTCCTTGCCTTTTACTTGCCTGTGGTAGATGTATACATACTCTTTCCTTCTCATGTGTTCCTGATGTGAGGTGGAGTATGATGAACTTATGATATATCCGCATCCACAGGGTTTTAAACACTTGGAGTCTGGTGGAAAGAGTTCTGATCCGGGTACCAGAGGTCTAAAGCGAATTACTCCTCGGCACTGAGTGCGGAGGACTAGTACTGAATAGGACACTTAGGGTCCGAAGCTGTCTCGGATACTTAGGATCCGAGGCGAATTATCCATTCCCTGGCGTGGAGCCGGAGGGGGGCTTTCGCCGAGTCGAACACTTAGGGTCCGAGGTGAAATTTCGCCGAGCCGTACACTTAGGGTCTGATGTGAAATTTTCGCCGAGTCGAACACTTCGGGTCCGAGGCGAGATTTTTGCTGAGCCAAATACACAGGGTCTGAAGCGAATGACCTACTCTCCGGCGCTGAGCCTGAGGGGAGGTTTAAATGAATCACTCCCCGGCTCTGAGCCAGAAGGGAGGTTTTGCTGAGCCGGACACTTAGGGTCCGAGGCGAGAGAACTACTCCCCGGCGCTGAGCCTGAGGGGAGGTTTTGCCAAGCCGGACACTTAAGGTCCGAGGCGAATGAATTACTCCCAGGCACTGAGCCTGAGGGGAGGTCGTGCCGAACCGGACACTTAAGGTCCGAGGCGAATGAATTACTCCCCGGCGCTGAGCCTGAGGGGAGGTTGTGCCGAACCGGACACTTAAGGTCCGAGGCGAATGAATTACTCCCCGGCGCTGAGCCTGAGGGGAGGTTTGTTTTATATTTTTCCTCAAACCACTTATCATGAGGCCGAGGACTCAAAAATGATAGGAGGCCAAGAAAGTGAGTAACAGTGGCTGTGAAGTTTTCCAAGTGTTGACTTTAGAGACCTGCCTCCACTGATACTCCCTTCTTGACAACCAAATGTTGTGGACCACGCATATATGAACCGCATTTCTTTTCTATTTCTATTCGATGTGGGACATAGACTAAATTTTGTCAAAAAGGTCGGTGTAAGGAATGCCTCTGGTATTGAGCTTGACAGCCTTAAATACCAGTGGGCCCTCCTTACACCGTGATTAACTATTTGAATATTTTCATATATAACAGAACGTGGCACATACTTTTTTGTCGATGTGGGATAGAAAGGTTTAAGCACAGGCCATAACTCATGTTTTGTTGCTTTGTGCTTTTTTGTTTTTGGTCAAAAAATCAGACGAATTTTTGTTTTGTGTCAAAAAATCAAACGAATGCCATGCATAGTATGGCCCCCCATTTTTATAAAAAGAAACAAAAATAGAGGAAAGTGATACTGAATATAGAAGCAAAATAAAGAAAAGCTTGGCTGACTGTGGATATACACAGCTTTATTTGTGAAGAAGTTGTAGCAAAATGGACAAACTTAACTAATGGAAATACCTTTTTAGGTGTATTGCGTTCCAAGGACGCGCAATGGGACGTCCGCCAGCTTCGGCCAAACGATATGCTCCTTTCCCTACTACTTCGGTAACCCTGTAGGGGCCGGTCCAATTAGGTTCCAGTTTCTTTACATGAGCTGTCTCCTGCTTCAAAACCCAATCGCCTACCACAAAGCTCCTGAATCTGACGCGTTTGTTGTAACTGTTACACACCTGCTGTTGGTATGCCGCGAGACGAATTGCTGCTGCATCTCTCCTTTCGTCCACCAAATCAAGGCTATGTTCAAGTTGTTGCTCATTGTTCCCCTCCAGTACCAAGGATGTCCGAAGGGTTGGGATTATGGACTCGGTAGGAATGACAGCTTCGGATCCATATGCCATAGCAAATGGGCTTTTTCCCGTGGGTCA